CCTCAGGGTCCTTCACTGTTCCTGCTCGCTGCCCCCCATGGAAAGTAATAAGGAAGCAGTGAATTAGCACCTGCCCAGTGGGCCGCAGGATCACTGTGTGCTTGACTTTGGTGATGGCTTGGAGCAGACTCTCCACCCTTAAAAATGGGGCTCCCACAGCTCTTTGGTGAGACTGTGCAGCCTGGCTTCCCCAGGTGGTGTAGACCATCCTCAGTACCTGTGTTTTAGCTCCTCTTCGACAGCCTGGAACTGTGCAGACTAAAGCATGGGCTGATGGTGGAGCTCAGTGGTAGCACACTTGCCTAGCATGCGGGAGGCCCAGGGTGCCACCCCAGCACCAAAAAGAAAGAGGGCAACTTAGATTTTATCTCATTTTGAATTTCAGTTCCCCCCATTGCCTCCACTGTCCATCATGGCAAAATGATTCTGTTTCCAAGAAGTGAATGGGCATCCAGAGCCATGTAACTTCTCAGAGGTGATTTGCTTCTCCTCTGGCTTTATGGAGGGGCTCCAGTAAGCCCTTGACCAAGTGCCTGGGCCTTGGGGGTTTTCACCCAAGGCATACCTGATGTTGGCTACTTCCTGGCTTAGGGTGTGAGGGTGGGGAGCCCTGCACAATGACTCTTTTGAAGTAGTTGTTAACCAGGGTTTATATGACAAGGACGAAGCCCACCAGCAAGCCACTGACTCCCCCCACCCTGCTGTGGACTGCAGAGCCCAGAGGAGGAGGGGTATGAGGGCAGTGGAAGGAGTGGAGACCCGAACCTCGCTCTTGACCCTGAGCCTGTGGAGGAGGACAGTGAAGGTGGCAGAGGAGAGTGTGGGCTGTGGTTGGCTCTGGGCTGCCACCGCAGACACTGGGAAACAAGTGTGCATTTCCTCTGCTAAGAGCGGGGATTCTCCTTTGGCCCAAGGGTTGGTGACTTGGGGGTGAGGAGGTGGCCAGTGCAGGCAGTGTCCCCACCTGGTGCCCAGGTCACCCTTTGTCTCCAACCCCCACCCTCCCCTGGAACTTCAAATAAAGTTGCTGCATCCTCCAGGGTGGTCACATTTGGAAGGAGGGGCGGGGTGACGGTCAGACCGTCACTGTCCCTGCAGCTGTCATGGATCTCCTGTGCTACTGAACACCAAGACTGGAGCCAGTCCAAACTGAAGTGTGCTATGCGTGCCTCCCACACAGCGACCTCCATGGCTTTCCACCAAAAATACCAACAGTGTGCATATTGATTAACATGTTGAGACAAGTGGGATATATTCATCTAAATAAGATTAAAGTTAGTTTCACCTGGTGTTTTTTGGAGATGGACACAATACCTTTATTTTATTTATGTATTTTTATGTGGTGCTGAGGATCAAACCCACGTGCCTACCACATGCTAGGGAAGCGCTGTACCGCTGAGCCACAGCCCAGCACTCGCCTGCGCTTTAGTTGTTAAAGATGCTGCCAAGAAGTTGTGCCTTTGGCCCACTCTGGTCTAGAGGCAGCACCTTCCAAGCCAGGGTGGGGATCGTGTCAGGGCACCCTGTCCCCCTCCCCACCCCAGGCCAAGGGTGGAGGGCTGGCCCAGCTGTGGATCTTGGCCCCTCTCCCCCCAGAGGGAGCCCCTTGCCTCTTCACTTAGTGGCACTGACAGTGGCTGAAGCCCAGTGCCAATGGGCTCCTTTCTCCGTCCACCAACACGTGCATGCCAGGGTGTGCGTGATGTGCTGCCACCTGCGGTGTCACTGCCCCCCACTTGGCTCAGGCTTCTCCTCTACCTGCTGTGCCCCCTCTGCCAGGGCTGGGTGCACCAGCCCTGTGGCGTCCAGGTTTCCTCCCCTGCTTTGGGCTGAGTGGGAGTGGGAGTGGGAGTGCGAGGTGTGTGCAGCTCTTCACCACAAAAGTCAGGACAGGGCCCTGTCCCCCTGTGGGGATTGAGAGGAAAAGAGCTCCTACAGAAATGGGGCAGGGGCCAGGGCCACATTCAGTCTGCTCTTGCCTGATCTATCTAGAGGTGAGAGACAGCAGATCAAATGACATGGAGCCCTCAGCCATTCCCTAGTGTCCCTCCAACCGGGTGTGGACGCAGCTGAAGGTTGATTCAGATAGTCACCCCTCATTCGTATCACTACAAGGCCCATGTGTGATAATGTGGCAATGTGTGCTTAGAGTTAACAGCGCACCACGTCAGCAGTCCCAATCCAGCCGAGAGCGTAAGAAGCCTATGCTGGGGCGGGAGCCCGTGCCTCAGGCCACACTGTTGTCCTCTTCAGAACGTTCAGCACATGATGGACTCTGATGCATCCCAGTAATAAATGCAAAGAAACGCAAATGTTCTTGACTGTGTGCAAGGGCTGTAAGCCCTCCTGGGCTTCTCGAAGCTCAGCCTGTGCTGCAGGCCACACAGGAGAGCCTTCCAGTTCCTCACACCCTCCCTGCAGGGGCAGACGCTGCCTGGCCTTCCTGGTGTGAGCACGATGCAGTGTCCAGGATGGAGACACTCTGCTCCTGATTCTCACATGCAGCTGCAGCCTCATGGCAGGACTTCCCACCCCAGGGCCTGGACCCCCTTTTCTGTATTGGTAGGCCTCTACCCTGGAGGTCAGTTAATCCAGAGGGTGCCGCCTTTGCACCACTCAGCAAGAAAGAAAGACACCCCACCACCACCAAAAAAAAAAAAAAGAAAGATGTCTTTTTTAAAAATGCCAGTAGACTGTGTCCTTGGGGGCCAGACCCTGCCTCTGAGGGGCCGGGTGTGCAGACCAGAACTGTCGTGCCCTGGGCTGCAGTGGGGAGTCGAGGGGGCCCAGCCCTGCCTGAAGGCCCTGATGACCCAGCAGGTGCCCACACCTCTGGGCCAGTGAAGTTCTACAGAACCCAGACTGCTCAGGCCCAAGAGACCACTCTGTACCCCTCAGCCAAGGCCAGTCCCACTGTCCCTTCTGCGGAGTGTTGGGGCCCAGGTGTACCTGCACGCAGGCTGCATGGGTAGGAGTGTGAGCAATGGCTGCAGAGGAAGCAGATGGGTGGAGCAGAGGACGCTGGAAGCACTGGCGTCCTAACCGACAGAAACTGACCTTGTGCACTGCTGGCGAAGGGTGAGCACGGGGCTTTCTGCACCCCTGTGTCTTGCTGGATTAATGTAGACTGCTTTGTTTGCAGGGCTTATTGTCATCCCCAAACCAGGCCAGTTCTCCAGGTGGAACTGTAGTGTAGCGATCCCACTGCGCTCAGACTCCCCGACACGCGGGACTGCAGGGACCGAGGACGACGGACGGAGAGCCGCGCTGGAGCCACGCCAGGGTGGCAGGCCTCAGGCAGGCAGGCAGACATCTTGAGGGCTGTGCGGACCCGTGATGTGGCGCTGTGGCGCCGTGCCGCGCACTCTGCTGCCCGCCCAAAGAAGTTTCCATTTGAAGTCGGTCTGTTGGGGCTGCAGTAAAAATAAGAAATGATGTTTTCTTGCTTTTTACTCTAAAACTCGATGTAATGAAATCTCACACATATATAATATATACATATATACATAGTGTAAATAAAGTGCTTCTTGGACAGAGACCTCCTTGATTCAGCTGTTACGAGTAGTACTTCCCTCACTGGTTTTGCACTGGTTTTTTATACCTTGGGTGGTCAGAAGACAACCTAGAATGCACTCAAACAGAAAGGGTTTACTTTCTGACTTAAATGTGTAATTCAGGAAGGTGGACGCGGCAGTCTTACATGTTGAAATATTGTTTGCACTTCAATAGTTTAATGCTAATAGAAAATGGCTCTGAGTGTGGTGGATCCCTGGCCCTTCACGGTGGGTAGGGAAGACACCCTTTTTATCTGTTAATGTTTATTTTAATACTGTTGTTTCTAATGCAATCAACTCTGTATAATGTGTATATATAATGTAATTCTGCAACTGGGGGAAATAGCTACTTCACTAGTACTTTTCATCATTTAAGAGTGATATTTCTAATTTACAAGAAACATTAATATTAAAATTATCTTGAATATACTATTTGTTTATCTTCTGTTAAATTTGCTCAATTTTTAGCATGGTCTTTGCTGAATGAAGGGTTGGTATGGCATCAGGCTGTGCTTTGGAGTCCCCTCCATTGTCAGAGTGTGGCTCACTTGGAAGTGCTCGGGTTCTTTGCCCGCGAAGACTCACCCATGTGGCACTGTGGGCATCTGCCCGTGTGTGCAGAAATTGGTCTTAGCACGCGGGTCTCTTAGAGCTTGGAGCCCATCTCCTGTCCTTGAAAGCTGTGGCCGCACGTGACACAGCCTGTGAGTGTGAAGGTGCTCGTTAACTGTGACATGACTGCTCCTGGAAGAAGCCACAGGTGGCATACCTAGATGGCCAGGACCAGCTCAGCGCCTCTCGCCCCTGTGCTGCAGCAGCTCCTCAGCTCCTCAGCTCAGCAGCCAGCAGGACGACTTACTCTTTGTTGTTTCTTTTCTTTTTTTTTTTTTTTAATCTTATTCAGCTGGATCCTTCAGAAGTTTTATTTGGTGACACTAAGCCATCAAGTGTCTGGAACACATTGCTCTACGTTATCACATCAATTTGGGGAATGTTGAGGGAATTGGGGGCTTTTGACAGATGTACTCTATGTCCGTCTTCTCTGTGAATGCAGCAGGGGTGTGTGTCACTGCTTCAGAGCAGTTCACTGGGCTCAATCTTCCTGAGTTGGCTTCAGTTCTTCTCGGTTCTTAAGCTGCCTGCACCCAGGCTGGGGGTGTTGGCCTCACCTGAAGCTGCCACTGCCCAGGGACCTTGTGGGGGGACTTGCATGATGGTGTGAGCCTCTGGGAGGTGTAAATAAGCAAAATAGTAACATTTGCTCTCTTAAGTGAAAGAATTAGAATTCATAAAACATACACATTAAGAATGACAATATTAAGGCTGGGGTGGTGGCTCAGTGGTAGAGCGCTTGCCTAGCATGTGTAAGGCACTAGATCCTCAGCATCACATATTCATAAAAATAAAGACATTGACAATTTAAAAAATTTTAAAAATTTATTTTAAAAAAGAATGCCCATATTAGAATTAAGTGTTAGCGTATTTGATGTAGTTTGCTGTTTCTATCAAAGCACTGGTTAGAAAACCCTAGAGGGCCCACGATGCCTGCAGGTACCTTGGAATGAGCTGCCTTTCAAAATCGAGTCTGGGATTCCTAATGTGATCATCTCCTGGCTCTGTTTCCTGTCAGAGGAAGTGACAAATTCAGTTGACATGGGGGCAACAATTACACACCATTTGGTCAGATGGTCCACAGTCTGGAGTCGTGTCACTTATGGTGCATGGCGTGGTCCTTGCTGTGCCTCAGCCCAGCCTCCAATGCCCTTTGTTGGGTCCTGGAATGGAGTTTGCACTTGGCCAGCTGCACTAAAGCTGTCGGATGTGTCCCGGCACACTGTGGATGCCTCTGTGCCAGGAACAAATCTTTCTGGCTCTGTTCCCAAGATTGGTTCCTGGCCAACGGTCCAAGATGGCTTCCAAGCCCTGACTGCCGTGGACACACAGCAGATCCTGACAGACAGCACAGGCCAGCCTCACGATGCGCCACAGGAGGTGGACTTGCTCAGCTTGCCTGGTCAGGTTCAGGTCTGCTGCTCCCGCCTCTGGCCTTGTGCTTTCCTACATGTGGTAAATTGGTGAATGTGGCACTGGGTACAAAGGAAGCTGGGGGGAGGTGGGCAAATGCAGGGTGTGGCATCCATCTCAAACCTAGCTGCCCCCATGCTGTGTTCATGGGTGGCCTGGCAAGGACTAACCCAGTAGGCCTTCCCATGGCGGGCAGCAGGGCAGGAGACAGCAGGACCTCATGTCTGCACCCCGTCTGTTCTGTGGGTGGGTTTGTGATACTAAGGACCATCAGCCTTTGAATCCTTAGCCTGGGATGTCTGCGTGCTTGCTCTGCCCCAGCCCAGCACCCACAAGCCCCACTCTGTGCCCTAAGATCTGAAGTGTGCCGTGGGCAGGAGAGGGCAGGCGCTCAGCAGGGTTTGGCGGGCAGTCATGGGATGAGTGTTCCAACTGGGTGAAGAGGTGGAGGAGGAAGCCAGCCTTCACCTTTCCAATTTGAGAGTGGGCAGAGACCCCACAGGACTCTGGGGTCAGGGTGGGGATGGCCTATGCCCTTCGCCCTGGTCAGCAGTTGCCCATTGTAGGGCCAGAGAGAACCACCAGGGTTGATGCCTCCTGGCTGGTGTGAGCTGCAAGGGAAATGCAGGAGCCCAAGGCTGGCCAACAAGAGTGTCCTGTCCAAATCCACGGAAATGGGCTTGTCCCCGTGAGGCTAAGGTCTGCCACATACAGGACCAGGGCACTGCTGCAGAGCTTTCCACCAGAGACCAAAAATTTTCCCTTCATGGTTCATGTACTTAAAGGGGTAATGATTTTCCTACATATACAAATGCTCGCCTGTGCTGTAACCAGTCCTCGGGACAGCAGGGTGCCCATAACTGCAGCTCTCAGGACTTCTCCAGGCCCACTGCCTCCACCCAGGCCAAGTGGCCTACCTACCTGCCTTGCAAGTCCTGCTCCTCTGGCTTTTGCCTCAGGTCCTTCCTGCGCCAGCTAGCAGGACTCTGCCTCCTCCCTATCTGTGGACCCATCTCTGTGGCCTCCATCCCCTATCAGGACCCCTTCAGGGGCACCCTGAAGGTCATCACGGGATCACAAGTTTCAAAGAAATCTTGTCCTGCCCTTCCCCACAGGCAGCATCTCTGTCACCGTCACCTGCCTGGCCAGACATCCATGCCCAGGATTCTTCACCCATGTTGCCCTTGTACTGCCAGCTCCTCTTCTCTTGCCCCTGTCCCTCTGCATGGTCCCACGTTCACCCTCCTACTTCCATCTGTCCTGTACTTTCTGGGGCTGGGGCCACTGGAGAGACCTGGAAGGAAGGGTCACAGATTTACCTCAATAGAGGGGAAGAGGAGACTAAACACTAATCTGGTAAATTCAGTTTTCTTTTTAATATTGTGAGTTTGAGAAAATAGAATGAACATTCAATGACTAGGTTACATTTCAAGGCAGAAGGGGCTTAGCAGAGTCTGGGGTGCAGCTCGGTGTGGGGCACAGGCCTAGCGCAGTGAGGCCCTGCACTCCACCCCCAGCACCACACAGAAAACAAACGGCCTGGCGGGGTTCTGCTCCTGCCCCTAAGCAGCCTGCTAGTGCCTCACCCTGAGTCCGCAAAGCACCACCTTTTCTTGCCACGTTCCTGTCCCACCCCCACGGGGAGAGGGTTTTATACATGCATATACATTTTAGTCGTGGATGGACACATCTATTTATTTTTATGCGGTGCTGAGTATCAAACCCTCATGCATGCAAGGCAAGCACTCTGCCACTGAGCCCCAGCCCCAGGGTTTCTTTTTGTGGGACGCAAGGTGCCCAACTTCCTCTTGGCCCTCATGAAACAAAGCTCAAAGCACCACTGGCAACCTGGCAGGGCCCACACGCCCGGGAGGACACCACTCACTGGAGCCAAAACCCCCCGGCCACTCGAGGCTGGGGCTCGGCAGACAGAGCGGCCTGAGCTCCCACTGTGGCACGGCCGCCAGCTGTGACTCAACTCCGTTTGACCCTTACTTAGTGCTTTTCTCAAGTGAAGCAGAAGCCACATTAAAGTGCTCCCAATGTCAGTGGCCCGATAGGCCTGCAGAGGCTGACGCAGCAGTGGTTAGTGAGGACCCGAGTCCAACTCAGAGACTGCAGAGATGAGGAACTGCAATGACAGCTTATTTTTTAATAAAATTCAGGGGTCTCCAACAGCATAGTCTGTAAGGCGTCACTACAATCCTGGGGACGTCCCCCAGTAGCACTTGTAAAGCTCAGCAAGGTGTGGCCCACGGTGAGCCTCTCCCCCAAGCCTGACCCTACAGGACAGAAGGCACCGAGCGTCTGTTCTGACTCAGAAGAGATACAAAATATTTTCTCCACATCCTACGTCATGAGAATTAATGAAACCCTGGAGGAGGTGTCACCAATGCATTGACATGCAGCGCAGCTGCCCTGGGGGCAAGCACACGGGGCCACGTGGCAGCCTGGAGCAGGTGGCCCAGTCAGCATGTTGGCACCAGGTGTCCCGAGGAGCTGGTGCCAGGCATGTTCTGAGCCTCGACCCACCGTCCCACGCGGAGCGGCCTGGGCCTGCCCTCACGGCGCCTGCTCTTACTCGAGGAGGCGCGGGCCGCCTCAGCACCCTCCGCCTCTCCTGTCGATGGTGGGCAGGCGGCACTGTTTCAGGCTAGGCTTGATGTCCTTCTGTGTGTCTATCTGTGAAAGGAAAACCAGGGACACTGACTGGAGGTTGAGGACAGGTGCAGGGGCAGCCCCCAGGGACGAAGAGCAGGACAGCTACCTTCTTGTTGGCACCCAAGCACTTCAAGGGTCTCAACATCGGGACTCTTCCGTTCATCCCAGAACTGAACACTGACTGCAGTGTGGGGCTGGAGTATGACAGCTTGGTGGTCACTCCCGAAAACCTCAATTTGGGCAGTTCCATCCCGCAGGCTGGTCCCCGTCTCTTGCCGTGGTCGTCCTCTTGCCTCAGGGGCTGTTTCTTGAAACAGAACAGGGTCAGTTTTCCTCCATGGAAATCAGGAAAGGCACAGGCAGCCCTCTGCTTCCACCTTGGTCTAGTGGAACTTACTTCCTGGTCAGGCCGGGGCTGGGGCTCAGTGGTGGGGCACTTGCCTAGCATGGGTGAGGCACTGGGTTCCAGCCTCAGCACCACATAAAAGTCAATAAAATAAAGGTATTATGTCAGCCAGGCGGGATGGCACATGCCTGTAAGCTTGGGAGGCATGCTTAGGAGGCTGAGGCAGGAGGATGGAGAGTTCAAAGCCAGCCTCAGCAAAAGCCAGGCACTGAGCAACTCAGTAAGACCCCGTCTCTAAATAAAACACAAAACAGGGCTAGGGATGTGGCTCAATGGTCGAGTGCCCCTGAGTTCAATCCCTGGTACCAAAAGATAAATTATAAAGATATTTTGTCCACCTACAACTAAAAAGTTACAAAAATTCCTGGCCTGGGGCAGGTCCTGCAGTGATGGGCCACCGCAGGTAAGGCACCCTGTGCGCCCCATGGGGAGAGGAGAGTCGTACACATCAGCCCCTCTTGGCCAGTACTCCTGGCCCACCCTCTGCAACCACTCCACTCAGTTCTGCTGACCCCATGGAGGCTGGAGTGACCAGCCTCGCCTAGCGGTGACCTGCTCTGAGTGTGGGTCTCAAACGACTTGCAGACTCTGACCCCTGTGCCTCCTGCTCTAACTGGAGGTCCTGTGCCCAACCTGCCCCAACGGTTTCTGTGCAGCTTGTGAGCTCAGAATGGGTTCCACCTTTTATTTGTTTGTTCATTCACTTATTTATTTACTAGGTGGACACAGTATCTTTGTTTTATTTTTATGTGGTGCTGAGGATCGAGCCCAGGGCCTCACATGTGCTAGTCTAGTGCTCTACCACTGAACCCCAGCCCCAGACCAGGGGTTCCACCTTTTATAAGGATTGAAAGAAAACTTTGGTGGCATGTGAAATTCAAACATTTGCGCCCAGAGCTTCACTGGGTCATTCCCAGTTGGCACAGATGTCCTCTGCAGCAGCTCACCAGGCAGCCAGGAGCTGGACAAGCCAGGCAGTCTGCCCTCACAGACTCAGCACACCTCTGCTGTCACTGAAGATGGTAGGGGGCGCGGTGGCAGCAGGGCCGGCAAGTTCCAGGAGGAGCGTGGCTGAGGGGGACTCTGGAGGCCCTGCTGGAGGGAGCCGCCTGCACCCTGCGCTTTAGAGGCGTGCCTGGAGCTGTCACAGGTGCTACACACCTGGACGCAGCGGTCGGGTCACGGAGCAGCGCCCTGGCTGCAGCCCTACGAGCCCTCTGCTGCTGGCTGAGAGCTCGCTAGTGGTGGAGGGTGGTGAAGAGCAGAATTGAGGGAGGGGACGTCCCTAGCAGAGCTCCGGTGCCAGCCCCAGGCTGTGAGGTTGCTGGGCCGAGCAGGTGGGTGCCCGTGGGTGCTGGGCCAGATTGTACAGGGCAGGTGAAAGGAAAGGCGAGGGCTGTGACGGGGCTCAGGACTTTCACTGGTGGGAGGTGGCTTTCTGTGCCCCTACTGGGACATTCTGAGGATCCACCAGGAGTGTCTGCAAATGGTTCTGGCCTGGAATAGGACAGCTGCGTGTGGTCAGCAGCAGAGAAATGCATGGAAGGGTCCCACATCTGAGCCTGTGCACGTGGGTGTCAGCCGTGGGCCCTCAGCTAGTGGGGCAGGGCAAGCAGAACCCGGGGAGATGGTGAGCAGCATGGTATCCAGGTTTCAGCTGATATGGTACAGCTGGGTGTGCCACTGCCCTCCACAGATGGCCACCTCAGAGAAACAGGCCACCAGTGTGTCCAGCCCACTTAGTGGGCTGTTCCCCACTTGCTGATTCCAGTCAGTACCTGCCTTCTGCCCTCCTTGGAGAACTGCCCGTTGAGACTGAGTAGTTCGGGCCCCATGGGGTGCTCTGGAAAGAAAGCCCTTCTGTGGCTGGCCAGGGCATGCTTCTCGGCCACCCTGCAGAGGAGAAGAGTGGTCACACCCAGGGTAGGCCCAGAGCACCTCTGCTTGTCTGCTGTCTCTAACTCCAAATCTGCTGTGACGAGAGGGTTCCATGAGCTACTAGGAGGAGCAACCAGAGGCGTGGGATCAGGTGACATCCAGTGGCTCTAATGCGCACCGCGGGCTCACACTACCCCACAGGATGCCCACCAGACGCTCCAGAATCCTCAGCACTGGAGCCAGGGCACTGCCTGCACAGTGGCTACGCTCTCCCTGCCTGCCACGGAGCTGCTGACTGCTTCACTGGGGAGCACACTGCCCAGAACACGGTGGGTCATGGGAGGCACTGACCACTGCCAGGGTGGGGACCCTCCAGAGGCCGGTTTCCCGCCTACCGTGTGCCGCAGGGCCACGCGGAGACCCACAGGAGCCTACCTCTGCTCCTGGAAGTAGGGGTGCAGCAGGGCCTGGTGGGCAGCGATGCGCTCATCAGGGTCATAGGCCACCATTGCGTGCAGGAGGGAGAGACATTGCGGGGACAAAGTGGTTGTCAGTTGAGGTATTCCTGATCCCTTTTTAAAAGGAAAATCAAAACTCATAGCTCTCGACCTGTATTAAAAGCCCAATGATAATAAAGGATCATGCCATTATTTGGAGCACTTGGTCAGTTGTTGTCCTGACTCTAAGGGGACAGTTCATGACCCACAGAAGGGGGCACGCCACCCTGTCCAAACCATAGACGTGCAATGCCAAGAGTGAGCTTAAGCTGAGCCACGGGCCCTGGAGATCAAGCCTGATCGCAGGTTCATGGATTGACAAATGTCCCCCCCAGGAGAGATGTGGAGAGCGTGGGGCGGGGGCTGGGCATGCGGGTTAGGGACCCATGGGAAATCTTCACTTTCTACTTGATTTTGCAAAACCTAAAACTGCTCTAAAAAAATAAAGTCTGTTAAAAAGGAGTGTGTGTGAAATCTGTTATGCTATAAATTTAAGATAATGACCTTTCCTCTAAAAGATTAAAATCTCCTTCCCACATTAGGACGAAATAAAGTTTAAAAATAGAAAAAAATTAGCGTCTAGAATTGCTATCATCTTCTTACCTTCCTGGGACCTAGGGCTGCTGGCTGCTCCCTTGGCCCTCAGGGCCCCCTCAGAAGCCCTAGCTCCCTGGCTGTGATCCCACAAAACCCCAGTGGGTCTGTGACTCCTTGTCTAGGAGCCAGTATCGCCCTGATGCTGTGCGACAGCAGCAGAAAGTCTCCTGTGCAGTTGGCGCTTGGGGGACCTTCTCCCCTGAGGGCTGCTAAGTCCTGTGTAAATACTCCCAAGCCGCGGGTGAGGCTGCGAGCACTTCCCACAGTGCTAGAGGAAGAGCACCCTGAGAGCCCCAAAGACACAGGCAGCCCCTTTTCCAAAGGCAGAGGAGCCCAGTAGGTGAGGGGCCGAGCGGAGGGCTTGTTCTGCTCCCACCATGGCCCACTCCAGCTGGGGCAGGAGTCCACATCTGACTCTCAGGGCTGCCACACTCACTGTTTGAACTTGGTGAGGGTCTTCTGAGCGGGTGTGCCAATGACATCATGGATTTTTGAGATCTGGTCCAGTTCATTTGCTCCAGGAAAGAGGGGCTGCAGACTGCGGGGGCAAGACAAGAGGCACCCAGGTGAGCGCAGGGCTGCCTCCTCCAGGGGACAGTCCCTATATAGACTCCCAGGAAGGGTCCCCAGAGCCATCCTCAGGGCTGGGAGCCGTCCATTCTTCTCCAAAGCCCCAGGTGTGTTTCCTGAGAGGCGAACACATTCCTCCATCTGCACACTCCTGTGACTGCATGAAAGGAGCACATCTGCTCTAACTGCCACAGACACATAGGGCCTGACGCCAGCCGGGTGAGTTCTGCTGCACATGGAGGGCAGAGTGGGGCAGGGCTTATGGGCAACTGAGTTCTAAGAAAACTTTTGGTTTACAGAGCTTTTACAGATTTTGTAATCGTGAATAAAAGATTTTAGACTTGCATAAACCAACCCAATCCACGTTACACATCACAAAGAGGAGCCTAAACAGCTCCGCTAGGAATGGCTTCTGCTCAGTCAAGAGCAGTATCTGCAAAGAGAGAAAGAGGGCCGTGTGGATGAGCAGGACCCAGCTCCAAGGTGGAAAACCAGGACACCCCTGCCCAGCGCAGGTTACCAGGTGGCTGGCTCCCTGAGGCTACTGCGTCCTGTTCTCCAGCACCCTATCAAACCAGCTCAGGGGATTTCAGAACTGTGCTGGTGCTCGAGGCTGCAAGGCAATCACCTCTCGGCTCTCCAAAGTGACAAGTCACCAACATGAACGCTGGCACTCTAAGGGGTGCCCTGAAGTGCACATCTGTATGCATTTCTGTAGTTGTCAGTTGAACAGGTAGAACAATGACACTAGGTCACAATGCTCACTTGAAGAGCCACCATGAGAAAGAGGGAACTGCCCACCCCTGGGGGCCTAACTATGCCACTCCACTTGCCCAGCATGGACCAGCCTGCCGCCCATCTCCTAGGCCCCTGCTCCACCTGGAAACCAAGCCCAAAGGCCAGAGCTGGAGTGGGGAGGCCAGAGCACCCTGCTGTGCCTGGAGTAGGCCCTGAGGGCACCGTTTACCCTCCCCACGTCTGCCTGGAGGTGGAATGAGCTTGCCTCCCCTCTGCTCTGGGATGCTGGTCTGTCAGTCATTTCAGGATCAAGCCTGGAGGACAGCCCTGTTCCCCAGGAGCCTGATGGTGATGGCTCTGCAGGAAGAGCAAGCAAAGAAAGGTAAAATGAAAGCCTAGTGGACTTTTGTCCTTCTGTGGTACTGGGGATGGAACCCAGGGCCTTGCCCGTTAGGCCAGCACCTACCACTGAGCCACCCAGTGCCCACCTAGGAAGCTTTCTGCGGAAATAAAAAGTTGAGTGACTGTAAAACCTGGAGGTATGGGGCTGGGGCTGGGGCTGGGGCTGGGGCTGGGGCTGGGGCTGGGGCTGAGCAGTAGAGCGCTCACCTAGCACGTGCCAGGTCCTGGGTTTGATTTTCAGCACCACATAAAAATAAATAAAGATTAAAAAAAAAAAACCTGGAGGTGTGGGGGCTGGCAAGACACCCTCTGGCCTGGGCCTCGCTGTGTGATCTACCCCCTCCACCTGAGTGTGACCAGGCTGGTGGTCCCTGCTTTACCTGGCGATCTCATAGAACACACATCCTGCACTCCACAGGTCCATCTTGTATGTGTAGAAGCCGTCAGTGAGGAGACACTCCGGGGCCCGGTACCAGCGGGTGGAGATGTATTCTGTGTACGGCTGCTTGGAATAGACACTCCGGCAGGACCCAAAGTCCCCCAGTTTCAGGACATCCTGCTGCAAGCAGCAAAAATCAGAGGTGACATCTCTGCAGCTACTATCATACAAACCATTGCAAATGTTTATATACTAACAGGAAAATCCTGGCATTGACACTAGCGTGGAAAATACAAATTACCACTTTGTAAGCAGCTGAATGTGCCTCTGGGGGGTGGGGACGTGGGGATTTCTCCGTGTGGAACATGTCTGCAGACATTCTGACAGACTTGGCATGCATCTCCCATGTCTCCAGAATCTCCAGGTAAGTCGCACGCTCCAGCCACGTGTACCCTGTGTCACACCTGCCGATGCCCTGGCTCTGCAGGTGGCTCAGTTCTGGCTCACCCTGCACAGGCTCCCACAGCACGTGGCTTCAGGGGACTCGACGGTGCATCAGATAGACGCGGGGGAAAGCACAGGATGACTGAGCTCAGGCATGCAGGGGCTTCAGAGTGGGGGACCTCAAGGCTGGCCTCAGGGCACTACAGGGGAAGACCTCAAATTTGGAATGAGCTCAAATCCTGCCTCTGCCACGATAACATCTAGCGTTTGGGATGGGCATTTGAATGGAGTGAATTCTGTCATATTCTTCCAGCTGTATAGACAGTTATGTTGGTGAAACTTACTTAATAAGCCTTTTTTTCCCAATTGGAAAGGGAAAAACTCTTTAAGAAACATGCTGAAATAAAAAGTTGAGTGACTAGCTAAACACATCCAGCGGGAAAAGGCCTCATAATCTACCTTTATTCTGAAATTAAGTTTCCATATAAAAATTCTTACCTTTATGAGTATATTTTCTGGTTTTACATCTCTGTGAAATATTCCATTTCTGCATTTGGAATATAAAGAATAGAATTAATTGAATCTCTTTTTTTGTTGTTTGTTTGTACTGAGGAATTAACCCAGGGGTATTTCACCACTGAGCCACATCTGCAGCCCTTTTTGCTTTTGTTGTTGTTATTGTTGTTCTAATTAATTTACTCTTTATTTTGAGACAAGCGCTCACTTAAGTGGCTGAGGCTGGCCTCAAACTTGCAATCCTCTTGCTTCAGCCTTTCGAGTTGCTGGGATTCAGGCATGTGCCACCGCACCCAGCTAACTGTACTTTATTAATTCAAATTCTTGAAAGTGAATTGTATTTTTAGTGAATACAAATACATTTTGTACATCTGAGAGCTGCCCCATCTCCCAAAGCGTACCTGTGCATGTGATCAAGGGATCTGCATAACTGATACATATAGTGCCTGATTTTTTTTTCTGATAATGGGTGTCTTCTTCCTGTACAATCAAGGAAAAGGCAAATTATAGTCACTAATGATACATATCCCCTTTTTAAAAACATATAATCCACTTTTTAAAAAAATTTTTTTTTAGTTGTAGTTGGACACAATACCTTTATTTTATTTATTATTTTTATGTGGTGCTGAGGATCAAACCCAGTGCCTCACATGTGCTAGGCAAGCGCTCTGCCACTGAGCCACAACCCCAGCCCCATAATCCACCATTACTTAGTAATATGTGAAAACTCTAAGTTCCTCTGTGAAAAATAATCTCAAGTAGTTTTAGGAATATGGAGTACACTTACAAAAGACATCATTTAAAATCCTACATACTGGCATGATTTCGCTTAAAATCACATAACATATGCATTTTGATTTCAGTTAGAACACTACTGAGTGATAGTCATAAGAACAAGGTCTGATAATCTTGGGTCTTCCAGGACTGTCCCCTTCAAACTGCATTAGTTTTGAAAACTCTGAGTCACTTGAAAACCTCCTGTCTTGCTGGGTGCAACAGCACTCATTTGTAATCCTTGGGAAGCTGAGGCAGGAAGATCACAAGTTTAAAGCCAGCCTCAGTAACTTAGCAAGGTCTTAAGCAACTTACTGAGACCTTATCTTAAAATTTAAAAGTAAAAATAAAAAGACTGGTGATGTGGCTTAGTGGTTAAGTGCCCCTGGGTTCCACCCTTGGTACTAAATAGAAGAGAAAAAGAAGACCCCATGTCTTCTGCGACATCCTGGCTAGGTAGAGATCTCCATTGTATTTATTTATTTTGAGACAGGGTCCATGTTACCCAGGGTGGCCATGAACCCCTGGGCTCAAGGCATCCTGCCACCTACCTCAGCCTCCCGAGTAGCTGGGATGACAGGTGTGTAGGGCACCTGGCTTTGGAGATTGCCACCAAAAGGGAAGAGAGCACAGTCCAGCAGAAGTGCACAGACTACTTGGGATTCCACCACCCACATGTCCTTCACAGAGGTACCTGGTGGCCCCAGGGCCACACTGCATTCCTACAGTGTCTGTCCCATTTCGAGGCTCCAAACATGCCACCGTGGTACCACAGGGCTACTATTTCAGAGGCCACACTTCACTTGGAGTGTTTGTAAGTTCATAAGTTTTAAACTGGCAAAGTGACCCATTTTCTCCCCCATGACCATTTGGCCCATTGGACACTGTTAGTCTCAAATTTGCAATTTCTTTTCACAAATAAGTTCAATCTTTTTCTCTACATAGCTAAATAAAAATGTTTAAAAAATGCAAATAATAAGGGCTGGGGATGTGGCTCAAGTGGTAGCCGCTCGCCTGGCATGCGTGCGGCCAGGGTTCGATCCTCAGCACCACATACAAACAAAGATGTTGTGTCTGCCGAAAACTAAAAAATAAATATTAAAATTCTCTCTCTCTCTCTCTCTTAAAAAAAAAAAAAGCAAATAATAAGGGGCTGGGGTTGTGGCTCAATGGTGGAGCACTTGACTCACATGCGTGAGGAACTGGGTTCGATTCTCAGCACCCCATATAAATAAAGTCCTCTGACAACTATATATTTTTTAAAAAAGCAAATAATAAGTAATTTAAATTGTAAAATTATAAATTGTATCTAAATGCAATTAACTTTTTCATATAATATCATAACCTTTTTATTGTTTCACAAAACTTATTACCAGTTTCCTGGAATTAAAACAAAAATAATTAAAATCAAGACTGTTAGTGTTCCTGAGCCCAAGGACCTCTAGAATTTTATTATCTTAACATCCATATAAAGGCAAAAAGAAAGCAGCTTCCCTTGTCCCTCAGGGGTGCTCAGGTCCACTCTGCAAGCCCTCCTCGACCCCTCGGCCCCACGCTGGCTCTCCCTGCCCAGTGTCAGCTTGACACTCGACACTGCCTGTGGCCAGGCCCCTTCTGCCTCTGGGGTTCCTGGACTCCAAGGCACCCCATCCCAGGCTCAGGTGGAGGCATAGAATGTTCCTCCCACCTAGGCCTACAGCAGAAGGCTTGACTCACTGCTAGGCCTGGCTCATCATCTTGAGAACAGCGCCCCCCACATCCCTCCAGCTTAAGGAAGGCTCCTCGTGCTCTCAGAGTGCCCCTCAGTACCGGCTCCAGGCTGTTCCATTTCTGAAATACCTTTCCCAACTAAGTGCACACATCCAGACCTTACTGCATAAAACTGGTATCACAGTTATCTGAATTTGAACTTGGGAAAAGAGGATCTTGTTAGAGAAAGTCTCATCTGTCCAGTCTTCCTAACTACCGGGGGTCTTTTAAAAAGCAGATTCCAAGGTGGTACATGCCTGTAATTCCAGCAGCTCGGGAAGCTGAGACAGGATGATCCTGAGTTCAAAACCATCCTCAGCAATGGCAAGGTGCTTAGCAACTCAGTGAAACCCTGTCTCTAGATAAAATATAAGAGGGCTAGGGATGTGGCTCAGTGGTCGAGTGCCCCTGAGTTCAATCCCTGGTATCAAAACAAAGCAGATTCCAAGGCTCGCACCGAGATCTGATAATAAACCACAAAGGGCAGGAGGCCAGGAGTCTTTCTCAGTGGCCTTGGCCCCCAGCATGAGCCTCCTCCCCAGGTGCCACTGTCCCCTTCCGCTGTTTCTCTCCCAAAGCCTGCTCCTATTCCTGGATCAGGAGCGGCTCTCTCCCTCTGCGCCCTGAGGAAGCATGTCCCGCAGGACTGCGGCAGTGCAGGGACAGGCAGCGGTCTGCACAACCTCAGTCCATACCCTCAAAGGACCGGCTGATCACCCACCCTCCAGTTTTTCCATACCAGATCCTAACCCCGTGGGCCTGAGAGCGTGTCTGAGATTCTCACTTTCAAACAGCCTGGAACAAAGGAAATACAGTGCCATTAATGACTCACTCAGGAGTCCCTCCCGGGCCTTCAGGGAACGCTGCAGCCCTGTCTGCTGAGCCATCCTGACCTTAGTAACTTTTGTAAGTTAATTTTTACAAAAAAAAAAAAAAAAAAAAAAAACAACCCAGCCTTCATTGAGGAGGCTCCATGGAATGTCATGTATGATACCAGTAGCGGAAAAAGACTTCCCGAGAACCGGCGTAGCCTGTGGCACCTGCTGCAGGAAAACGGCCCTCCCTCCCGCTGCTTGCAAAGAGCCAGCCCTCCTCTCAGGTTCAGAGGTGCGCGCTGGGCCCTGGCACAGACGAAAATGCCCTCATGCCCACTGAGGCCCAGAGGCAGTGCCCGTGGCAGTTATATTTTTTTGCTATTTCTTTTTATTCAGTAGTACACTTTACATTTTGCGGGGAGATAAGAGGAGGAGGGCCAAAGCGTTTCATCGGAGTCCCCAACATGTATGACACTCCTGATGGTACAAGGACAGGATGAAAGGCCAGGCCACCAGGGGGAGGGTTCCCAATATTCCTAACTCATCTCTATAATTAAAATGATAGGGTGTGAGTACCAAGCCCGTGGTGGCCCTCAGTGCCAGCTGCAGTCCCAGTTCCCCGCAGGCTAGGTCATACCTACACATCATCGTCCTTTTCCTTTCTGGGAATGAAGCTGGCCTAGAAAATAGGGAACAAAAAGTTCAGCACAGTTGGGTAACAGTGCTGTGACTTTCTCCCTACCTCCCCAGCCCACTGTGCTAGGCAGGGCTCAGAGCAGAACTACCAAGGGCCTCCTGGGGCCTGGTGGGCCTGGCCTGGCAGATCCCACAGGCAGGTCCCTGGGCTGCGGCTCTCCAGAGCACAGTCCTCTCTTTGGCGATGATGACTGTAGGGTCAGCGCACGCATGCTGATTTCTGGGTGGTCTTCAGGATCTCAGCAGCCTTGCTGTGCTCAGTACCTTGGAAATCCATGCCATTCGCACCTAGAGCTTGGTTCCCTTCTTGAAGTCCTGCTCCATGTGCATCTGAGTCGGGAATCACCCTGGAGATGAAAATGCCCAGCTTGGAGGCCTTTCCTCCTGATGTTAAATCCCAAATGAGCTCCGGGAGGCTTCTTCAGTGTCACAATTCGGGGCAGAAACTGGTGGATTTATTGTCGTAGTCCAGGTGATATACTCTCATGAGGAAGAATCCACACTGGGGGATTCTATTAGGCAGGCAGGAAAAGCACTGAGCAGTCATCATAAGGAACTGGCCGTCCATCTTGGACAAGACCCACCGCTTAAATGCCAAACTACCTCAGCAGCAACAAAGCCCTTAGCCACCCTTGGCTCGGCTCAGTCAAAACCCTGTGACACCCACATGCCCCTACTGTGCCCCTTGGAGATCCAAGGGGCCCCACTGTCAGTGCCTCTCTGTGGGAGGAGCCAGAGGAGCAGGCAGGGCTGCACTGGCAGAGCCCTGCCCTGGCGGCCTGGCAGGCTCAAGGACAGGTCCTCGGGTTCTGTGCCTCGAAGCTGGGTCATCTTAGGCAAGTGAACATGGAAAAGTTTTAACTTTCTTTGAAATTCAGTTTCCTCACCTCTAAAATGGGAAGCTCAAATGAGGAAACAGGCCTGCACACCGGTGCCCCCGGCACACCCACTCAGTGCAGTTGCGCCTGAGGACTGGGTGCCGAGCCGCTCTCCAGACTCACTCGGCCTGGGACGGGAGCCTGGTGAAGTCCAGCCCTGAGGCCAACACTGTGACAGTGAAGCCCTGAGGCTGATGCTGTGACACGCCCACCTCGTTACCCTTGGCGTAGGCTCCAGGAGCTCACCAAGGAAACGTCATTGTAACATGGGGAACTTGTGCTGCTTCGGGTTAAAATTAACAGTAGGTGACCTCGGCTTAGAAGAAAATTCCAGTGACAAAAACACTGCATCACCCACCTGAGTGGTGTGGAGACTGACAAGTAGGGAAAGCAGACATCAATCATTCTGCGTCAAAAGTGCAAAGAAGTAACAGGAATGATGTGACATTTATTTAACTTCTATTTTCCTTCTTATTTATGCACAAAGTGAGACAGAGTAAAATTATGCAATAGATCTAAAAGAACTCTTGATCAGGATAAAATTAAAATTGCCCAGTGATAGGGCTGGGGATGTGGCTCAAGCAGTAGCGCGCTCGCCTGGCATGCGTGCGGCCTGGGTTCGATCCTCAGCACCTCATACAAACAAAGATGTTGTGTCCACCAAAAACTAAAAAATAAATATTGAAAAAAAAAATTCTCTCTCTCTCTTAAAAAAAAAATGCCCAGTGATAAAGGTCTGTGTTATGGCTAAACAGTGCCTCTTGCCATCAGTGGGTCAGAGTTGATGAGACATAAAAAATACAACTGGGGCTAGGCGGGGGCTCAGAGGCAGAGCCTTGCCTGGCGTGCCTGAGACCCTGGGTTCCAGCCTCAGCACCACATAAAGATAAAAAAATAAAGGGTCAGCCTCCTCTGACCCCTGCTGGACAAAGAGAAAACCACCCACCTTCATCTGGCCATCCCCTAGTTCACAGCCACGGGCATCCTGAGAACAAAACCATCCGGAGGGCGTCCCCTCCACCTCTGCCCCTGCTGGACCCAGGCCCTGCACACCTGGGTGCGGGAAGTAGACAGTCCAGACTGTGACCACTCCTCCCTCCTTTCACTATCTCGCTCTTTACTATTTAACAGCACTACTGAATGCCTGATTGCTGAAGACAGTAGTAATTTAAGTCATACGAATTGCTATTCTGGTAAAAAAAGAAGAAGAAGCTGCTTTAGTGATTACTTGGCTTTTAATAGATCAGTGTTGCCCTCACAGGAGCAGACCAGAGGAAGTGCCTGTTCCTAGGAGGCTCTGAGCTAAGGCAGGAGGGAGCTCAGGGTAGCAGTGCAAAGTCAAGGTCCAGGCTGGAGCTTCAGCCCTGCCTCAGGCATTTGTAAAGCTTCACGTGGGGTTATTACTTCATCCTTCAAGCCCCAATTTCCTCATCTGTAAAATGGGGCTGATAATAACAGTGCCAACCACAGAGGGTTGTCAGAGGAGTCTGTCAGGTGGTCAAAAACAGCACCCTGGGCGGGGGCGGGGGCTCAGCAGTAGTTCACTTGCCTGGCATGTGAGGCACTGGGTTCGATTCTCAGCACCACATATAAATAAATTAATTAAAGGTCCATCAACAACTAAAACAAAATTGGAAAAAAAAAAAAAACCCGCACCGTGGGACCAGCCCAAGTTCAAGCCCCTCTACCACCTACTAGGTAATCACCTTGGACAAGCGACTTTCTCTGTGCCTCCATTTCCTCATGCTGAGATGGGGATAATAGCAGTGGCCTGGCGGTTGCTGCAGAGGTAAGAGGAGGTACCTCCTATGAAGTATTCAGTGTAGCACTGGGGCTATAGGAGCCGCGAACCCTGGTCACCGTCACTCAGTCCACTGACCCTGAGGCAACTTTCCTCCGTTTTACCGGCTCTGAGTTCAGGGTGCCCCACTTTGCTGGCATCTTCATCAGCTCAGTGCACTGAGCACAGTCCTGGGCCCACAGGACACTGGACCTCAGGGTAAAGCTGGCCATGTCTGACGGCCCCAGTTCCCACTCGGCATCTGCTGCTAAGTGGTGACTCTCAGGACTGAGAGCCACTCCTAAGAATGTACCCATCAAGAGAACAAGACCTCTGCACAAGACCCGTGGAGGACAGAGCCCTAACCTGGTAAGTGCCAGCCAGGACACGGCCTGCCTCCTGCCCACAACCACCCCTCTGCCTTCTTACTTCCTGTGCTCCCCAGACACCCCCGAGCCATGGGCTTTTCACTGGCTTCAAAGTTACTAATTCTGGAGGCCACACAGAGAGCTGTTATTCATCTCCACTAGCTCTGCTGTCCTCTGACACGTGGATCACTATGACAACAGGTGCTAGGGTTATGCTTCGGGGACATGAGACCATTTTGTCTAAGCCACTGACCTTTTTGCTTGGCCTAGCATGGGTGTCCCAAAGGTGACCTTTGACATCAGGAAGCAAAAGATTCCACCTTCAGATCACGCTAACACCACCATTTTCTGCAGGTGTCCCATGAAGAGCCATGGAGGTTGGTTGAATGTGCTCGGACTGCTGACTATTGCCTGCTATCGGCTCCCACACCCTAGGCCACGATGCTTCTTCATCCCCCGGTGTCCACAAATGTCCTCAGGAGGTGGACTTAGGGCTTGGACCTCCCCACTCCTCATGCTTGGCTATCTTAGGAATGACTCTTGCAAACTCCTTGCTCTAGTGACTGACCTAGTGCACAGCTGGAAACCAGAGGGGCCTGGCTCAGTAACAACATAAGGAATGGACGTCTGTGGATCTGTACAGCCATCGGCTGCAGTCCCTGCAGGCAGACACTGGGAAAGAAGGCTTCAATTTCTGCAATTATACAATCCCTCGCCTACTGGAAATCAAAGATATTTATTCTGAGCAAAGCTTTCTCAGATATCTAAACATAGAGCAATGTGCTGAAAATTCTCCTTCTCACAACCCCCTTTTTTTTTGGTACCAGGGATTGAACCCAGGGGCATTTAACCACTGAGCCATATCCCCAGCCCTTTTTTGTATTTTACTTAGAGACAGGGTCTCACTGAGATGCTTAGGGCCTCACTAAGTTGCTGAGGCTGGCTTTGAATTCCTGATCCTCCTGCCTCAGGCTTCTAAGCCGCTGGAATTACTGGGGGGCGGGCCCCACTGTTCCAGGCTCCCCTTGAGTTTTAAGATACCACACTCTAGGAAGCACCACAGGAATTCTAAATCAGGATGCATTACCTTACACCAAGGGATTATACAGGTTCTTTAAAAAGCAAAATTTAGGGCTGGGTGTGCAGCTCAGTGGCAAAGTGCTTGCCTAGCATGCGTGAGGCCCTGTGTTCAATACCCAGTACTACAAAAAGAAAAAAGCCATGTTGACTTACTGGTGTTGAAAAAAAAAAGAATATTATAAAAAGTAATAATAAAACAATAAAACATAGGGGTTGTAACTGACAATCAAGACCTATACGCAGAGGGTCAGCGTAAAGAACCAGGACAGCCCCCCTTATCCAGACCACGTGGAATGAGATGCTGGTTAGTAAAATCCCCAGGTACACGAGGCTCACTCCTCAAAGAGAAAGCCCCCTGCAGCCTCCTGCACAGCTCCTCCTGCCCGGCCTGCTCACATCTGCTGCCCCGCTGGGCTTCCTGCCCATTGCTGGACCATCTCCGGCCACTTTCTCCCACTGTGGGTGTGTCCAGGCCCAGAGGCTTGTTCTCTCCAACAGCTCAAATTTGAGTGGTTTTGACCAAAAAAACAGATGACTACATTTGTTAGAGTTGTACTTAAACAAGAATAAACAAATTACTAAGCGAATGAATACATGAGGTTTGTAATGTATAAGAAATACCATACAGGGCTGGGGATACAGCTCAGCTGCTAGAGTGCCTGCCTCGCAAGCAAAAGGCCTTGGGTTCAATCCCCAGCACCACAAAAAACAAAACAAAACAACAAATACCATATAATCCCAGATATGAGGCAATCTCCTCTTTTCCCAAAAAGATCCACAGTTTTTTGACCAATTTATATACATAAACTTTTAAGGATGTAGAAAAACTTGCTTACACATACTACTATTTTCTTAGTAATTTATGATCACATAAATATTTAAAATCACATAATAAAATACAAGCAATCCCTGTCTGTGTGGGTTCCCTATCTGTAGATTCAACCATCAATGGTTGTGCTCAACAGGTACAGACTCTCCCCCTTGTTGCTGTTTCCTAATAACAACAATCATTTCCACAGCATCCACACTGTATCTGGTCCTGTAAGTCACCAGGAGGTGGCGTGAAACCCACGGGAGCAAGAGCTGGGTTATGTGCAAACGCAACACCAGGCATCCTCAAATTCTGGCATCCCCAGAGTGTCCTCAGGGGTGAGGACACCAGGGCACCTTATATTAATGTTGACACAATACTGTCTTCATCCTGTCACTTCACAAACACAACTGTATTTGGACTCTTCAGCACCAGTGTCTGCCTCTCCATCTGAAGGGACCGTGGCACACTGCTTTCAGTCTAACTTGTTTGAGATAATACAGCTTTTAAATCACCTATGATGTTTCCACTTAAATTCTATTCCCAATCATCTGAACTCACAGGACATTAGGGCAGCTAATTTTCTTCGTGTGACCTTGGGTAGTGTGATTTGAATGGGACACTGGCTGTTGTTTCTTAGTGATATGCACCAGGTTCATTGTCCTAACAGCTGGCAGACCCATGAGGACAGAGCCCCGGGACACTTGCTCACTGGGGGCCAACCACCTGCCCCCTTGCCTGCTGGCTCTCTGCTGTGCCCTCGGCAAGCACCCAAGGCTGGCCCTGGCTGAGGCCGGCTCAGGGCAAGCTTCCCTAACAGAGCTTTACTGTTTCAAAGATGGAAATAATGAGCACCCTGGACACCAGTGCATGGCAAGGTGCAAGGGGTTCCCCAAAGCCAGGATCTTCAGGGAAGCTTTGCCTTTGTTCAGCAGGGAACAGAGTCAAGCAGCAAGGAGACCCCAGGGAGAGGTACCTCAGAGCAAGGGGCCCCAAAGCTCGGCACCCCGCAAGGAAGGCACAGGCTGCAATGCTCTGCTGCCTTCAGCGCCACTTTTCCAAATCACAGGGTCACCGGAAGGCCTTGGCTCCCCTTCCTGCATGCAGTCACCCTGGGAGGCCAGCCTGCCACAGCAACGCCTCCAGGAGCAAGCCGTCTTGGTTGTCACCACTGCTCTGTGGTGACCAAGGACTATGAGATCGGAAGCAAGATACAGGTGAGCTACAAACTTAAAGAATATTATAAGGTAGCTTTCGAAATAGTCTACGTACCTCGTATGAGCTCATAAATATTCATGTCCATAAGTTCACATATAAGTGCAAGAGAACCAGATTTTCTGTCACTGAAGAAGAAAGCAGGTTTTAAATTTTTTTTGTCTTAATCAGAAAACATGATCAAATATTTAATTCACTGTAAACATTTCTGGTAAATATAAGGCACTCCCACATCAGCCAAAGATGGCAATATAATTATTAAAATAGTAGAGATTTTTATTTTCAACCAATATTTCTGATAAATTTAATTTTAAATAACCGTAAAGATTTATTTTAAGCAAAATTCTAAAAGCCATTTTTTAAAAAAAAAGAGATATGTCTTGAAAATATAAAATTAACCCAGCAGAAAGAAGAAAGTCTGGGGAATTAGCTAAGCAAAGCAATAAAAGAAAAAGGAACTTAACTCATGCTCTATGACTGAACGTCTAGTTTTAATTAATTTTAAAGTAATTTACTGTATCTAATTATTTACATGTAATTGGGATATATTACAACTGGAGAGCCAAAAGCAAAAGCCACTCCCAGGCAGAAGAGAGAGTCACATTTCACTCATACTCCAGGCTTCAGGCCCAGCCAACAAGCTTCTCGGGATTCCATTCAACCCCTAAAGGGGAGCCTGTGTCACAGCAGGCCACCTGGCAGGGGTCTCAGGAGATTCTGGCCAGAAGTGCTCTGCACAGAGTGTGTGTGTGTGTGTGTGTGTGTACACAGTGTTGTGATTATTATGTGCAAACCGTGCTAAGAACACTGCAGCTATGTCAAGGGGCCACACAGCTATGTCAACACAAGTCGTTTTGAATTTAAAACTGTTGCATCCTCTGATTAAAATCCACCAAGCTTTAACTGGCAGAGACTGGAGTTCCCAGGCCAACTTTATAGGCCAGGGTCCCTGCAGAGCTGTAGCAAGGCCAACAAGCACCTTCCCAGAGTGGCAAGGTCATGCTGGTGGGAGGAGGCCTCCTGAGCCCCTGCACACCAAGGGACAAGCCAGGCTCTATCTTTTTGATTGGCAGGTAAGCCTTATGAAAACTACTCTACAATTAGAACAAATGGAAATGCCTTGAAATGACATCAATTATTGTAAGAAAGACTGTAAGAGACTGTGCAGAGAGATCAGTTGGCAACAAGATGAGAACATGAAATAGCATCGCAGGGCTCGCCTGGGAGGTCATGACTCATGTTCAAGCCTTCAGAGTTCCAAACCAAGCTTTAGAAGCCAAATCTTGAATGCTGCGTGCTGCCACGATATGAGGTCACCTCTCTGAAGACACCTCCAAATGAGGGGTCAGATACGCAATTGTCCAAATAGAAATGCAACGTACGGTGAAATGAAAATTATTATTCTCTGAGCTACAAATATTGTAAGTCTACCATGGTTTTCTTAAAAGGAGATTTAATCAATAACAAATTTTCAAATAGATAATTTTTTAAGCTCCAAATATACTTACAAAACTACTTCATGCAACGTAAGAATGTTTGGGTGTGGATTCAGACGCCTCAGAGCTTGTACCTCTCGTAGGTTGTTCACCTGCTCAATACTATTTGTAGGTAAAAATAGATAACTGATTTATAATTTAGGTTAACTTTAAAATTAGAGCTACCAAATCATATTCATTATCCATGTTTGAAAATTTTAAACTCGCAAATATTTCAAGCAAGTTAATCGGGTCAAACTGTTCTCATCAGAAACTGAAGTTAGCATATTCTTATATCACCTTATAAAAATTAAAGTTCTCATAGCTTAGGAAATACAGGAAAAGTTTCCCCATCTATTATCCTGAAAGATTCTCTTGTAGTTTCTTTTACATATTAAGATTAAAAAAAAGATTAATATTAAAACTGCTGCACGCCTATCAACTCAGCAGCTAGGGAGACTAAGGCAGGAGGATCTCGAGTTCAAAGCTAGTCTCAGCTAAAAGAGTAAGGTGCTAAGCAACTCAGTGAGACCTGTCTCTAAATAAAATACAAAATAGGGCTGGGGAGGTGGCTCAGTAGTCAAGTGCCTGAGTTCAATGCCCAATACTTAAAAAAAAAAAGAAAAAAAGATTAAGTTTTCTGATTAAATTAATTGACAAATTTATTTAAAATTAAGGGTAATAATTAAACTACATTAATCAGTTTATAGGAAATGTACATACTATCTTAAAATATGCATTTCAAAATTCCAGAAGCAGACCCAGCCTCCACCTCATCTTCTTTTTTTTTTTTTTTTAATATTTTTTAGTTGTAGATGGACACAATATCTTTATTTTATTTTTATGTGGTGCTGAGAATTGAACCCAGTGCCTCTCACATGCCAGGCAAGCGCTCTACCACTGAGCCACAGCCCAGCCCCTCCCTCCACCTCATATTTGATGAAGTCTGTCTTTTCTGCCATCTCCTCTGCCTGGGGGGAACAGGTGTAGTCCTTGCAGGTGTCTCGCTGTGGGGTCGTCTTTGATTGCTCAGCCTGACACTGTTTCCATATCCAAATCACACCACTCTAAGTGCTAGGCCGTGACCAGCTGTCCCTGCTTTCCAGACACCCTTCCAGGGACGCACCTCCCATGGTGGGAGGGGATTCACACCCATCCAGTGACTTCATGCTCAAGGGACTTCCATCTCAGAGGCTCCGAAGGAACCAATTGTGGGGATATTCTTCTTTCCTACAATTGCTCAGCATCTTGTTTGGTTATTCAGGGAATAGTTATATCCAACAGCACATTACTATAGTTTAATTTTTTTTTAATTCTGTTCTTTTTTTTTTTTTTTTTTTTTGGTGGTGCTGGGGATTAAACCCAGGGTGTTATAAATGCAAGGCAAGCACTCTACCAACTGAGCTATATCCCCAGCCTGTTCTTAAATAAAAGGGTTTGTTGAGCCCCTACAGACCTATACAGAAAAAGGATAAAGTCCTGCTACCTGGATAAGGTCCACACTACCAGCAGCAGGGCTAGGTCACAGCTGGGAAAGGTTCTGATTATACTTGGGTTTTTCTGATTGTGTTTTGTTTTTCATTTTAGTGCCTGGAACTGAACCCAGGGGTGCTTAACCACTGAACCACATCTCGGACACTTTTTTTTAAAATTTTTACTTTTTGTAGTTGTGTTTGGGGTGTGTGTGTGTGTGTGTGTGGTGCTGGGGATTAACCTCAGGGCCTTGTGCATACAAGGCAAGCACTCTACCAACTGAACTAAGATTCCCCAGCCCTTTTTTTGTAGTTGTAAATGGACAGGATGACTTTATTTGTTTCATTTTCATGTGGTGCTAAGGATCGAACCCAGTGCCTCACACATGCCAGGCAAGTGCTCTGCCCCTGAGCCCTAGCCCCAGCCCCTTCAGCGCTTTTTTTAAAACTTTGAGACAGCACCTTGTTAAGTTGTTGAGGCTGGTCTTGCGATCTTCCTGCCTCAGCCTCCCAAGTGGCTGGGATCACAGGCGTGTGTGACCACGTCCAGAATTTATTATATAGTGTTTAAATCAATGTGGCTCTTAAATCAGTTGCTCTCAAGCTAGCAACCACATGGGAGCCTGATACATAGGAACAGCCTGAAGAGAGACTAGTCTGAGTCTAAGAATATCTGTGACTAAGAGCTTTGGGCCTCTTCTTCATTACCTTCCCCTATTTCCTCCCTCACAGCCAGGACTGTAGTCAAAACACTAGCAACGTGCACCCAAGGCAAGACATAGTCCATAGTGCTGGAGCCAGTCCGGTGGGCACTGGCTCTCGGAGGTCTGCTGTGAGCCTGCCACCATGCAGCTGGCAGTTCAACAGCTGAAACACCAGCATGGCCCTGGTGACGGTGACAGGGATTCTAGATGCACATACGGTAAGTAACAGTTTCAACACACATGAAGTAACTGACAGGTAAAGAAAGCTGGAGACAGAACACCCCCTCATATATTTGATACAATGATCTTTAAAAAAAAAAAAAACAGAAACAGTAACTATACGGAAGCTCCTAAGAGCACTAGTGACCACCTCCACCCGACATCATTCAAGGATGCACAGGGCACTCAACCAGACAGGAATGTGCTGCATCAGAGCCAAGTCTTGACAAACCCCAAGACTGAAAATGGACAGAACATGCTGGCTGGCCACGATGGAATTAAATTAGAAATCAGCCATCGTAAACTATCTAGAAAAGCCCCGAGTATTTGGGAATGAAACAACAGATTTCTAAAAATCCATGGGTAAGGAAGAAATCTCACGTGAAATTAGCATATCAAAAAGCAAAGCACGGCACATTGAAGTTTTGACGACACTTAGAAGGATATTTGTGACTTTACATGTTTTATTATGAAGTGTTTACCTTAAGAAGGCAGAATAAATTAGGTGCAGTGACACACGCCTGTAATCCCAGCAGCTCAGGAGGCTGAGGCATGAAGATCACAAGTTCAAGGCCAGCCTCAGCAACTTAGTGAGGCCCTAAGCAACTTATCAAGATCCTATCTCAAAATAAATAAAAAGGGCTGGGGATGAGGCTCAGTAGTTAAGCATCCCTGGGTTCAATCCCCAATATCAAAAAAAAAAAAAAAAAAAAGAAATGAATTCTTCCATAAACTGCTACAGATTTGACATAATCCCATTCAAAAATCTCTGTAGTTTTTATTTTGTATGGAATTGACAAGCTGGTTCTAAAATATTTACAGAAATACAAAGGACTCAAAGTAGGCAAAACGTTTCCAAAAAGAAAAACTAAGCTGGAAGATAAATATTACCCAACTTCAAAACATACTGTTAAACTACATGAACCAAAACAGAAGGGGGAGCTGGGGTTGCAGTGGTAAAGCACCTGCCTAACATGTGTGAGGCCCTGGGTTCAATTCTCAGCGCCACATATAAATAAATAAATAAAGGTCCACAAAATACATACATGCATGTATGTATATGTATATATGTTTATGGGTGTGTGTGTGTGTGTATGAGGTAGCCCTGTGACCAGAGGCTACACAAAGCTTGGCTCCCCTCTCTGCTCTATTTTATATATATATATATATATATATATATATATATATATATATATATATATACACACACACACACATACATACACACACACACACATACATAAAACATATATATATATATATATATGAAAAACCCTTCTTAAAAAAAAAAAACAAAAAACAGTAGGGAGTTGAAATAAGGATAGTCAAAGTCAAAGAGATCCATGAAACAGAATAGAGTCCAGACAGACCTATACTTTTTTTTATGACACACTTTATTTTTAAAGATATCAACTAGTTCAGAATAAGATGGAAAAATTGTCACAGGAGAAGAAAAGTTTCTGAAGAAGAGTCTGAGGAGCTCCTGGAGAGAAAGGAACAACTCAGTTCCAGTAGGGTTTTTGACATCCGTGATGGAAAAGAATTTCAGCATGCACCAGCCAGAGACACAGGCAGAGGTTTATTTAGGAAAGCAGAGGCACGTTCAAGGGACAATGTGGTCCATCTCAAGACAAAAAGTTTTGAGGATAAAGCAAGGTATACACATTCAAAGGAGAATGTGGACCACCTTCAGAGGGAGAAACAGCCCAGACCCACACTTTTGTAGTCAACTGGCTTCTGACAAAGCAGCCTATGAGGAAAAGCAACATTTTTTTTTCTCTTTTAGAAACATCTTTAACAAATCATGCTGGAACAACTAGATATCCACTGGGGAAAAGATAATCCTTGACCTCTGTACCTTACAATATACACAAAAATTAATTGGAGATGGATTAAGGACCTAATTGTAAAAGTTAAAGTTGTATTTTTAGAAGAAAATATAGCATTGTCCCAGCCTGGGGATAATTAAAGATTTCTAAGACTGAGAACAGAAAACAAAAACCATAAAAAGGAGATAATTCCATACACTGGGTTTGACATAAAAAATTTCAGCATATCAGCCAAATGTGGTGGCCACGCCTGTAATAACAGCTACTCTATGAGGCTGAGGCAGGAGGATCATAAGTTCAAAGACAGTCTTAGCAACTTAGCAAGACCCTGTCTCAAACTAAAAAATAAAAAGAGCTGGGGATAAGGCTCAGTGGTAGAGCATCCCTGGGTTCAATCAAAAAAAAAGGGCTGGGGCTGGGGCTCAGTGGTAGAGCGCTTGCTTTGCATGTGTGAGGCCCTGGGTTCCACCCTCAGCACCACATAAAAATAAATAAATAAATAAAGATATGTGTTCATCTGCAACTAAAAAATATTGTTAAAAAAAAACCCCAGCACATCAAAAGATGCAAAGATAGTACAGACATTCCTTCCTCTTCCTTTTCTGCTCTCCTCCTACTCTCATGGCCTGCCCTGCCCTGCCCACAGTCACAGCTCCCTCCTCTTCCTGGCCCTCTCCCCTTCCTCCTCTTAGAATGAGAGAAATCATAGGGAAAATGGACCAGAAAATCAGACATGCAAAAACTAACCCAAAACGTAAGTAACGACGGATTTACACACAGAACATACAAAGGACTCCTACAAACAACTCAATAAAAAGACACATAGCCCAATATTTAAAATAGGAAAAAAAAAGTCTGAACAGACACTTCAAAAAGGAAGGTACATGAACAGCCAGAAG